AAAAAAAAAAAAAAAAAAAAAAAAAAAAAAAAAAAAGTTCGCTTCCTTTTTTTTTCCAAAGGGGCGGAGAGGATGAAGTGTACGGAACGAACCATGAAGAAATTACCCGGGGTTTAGAAAATAATAAAGTAAAATGATTAATAATTACAAAAACGAAAAAAAAAAAAAAAGAAGAAGAAGAGACGCGAAGCTTGTGGCAGAGGAGGGTGGTTTACCTTTCGCAGCAGCAAACACGACAAAAAATAATTTTATAAATACATTAAAATATATAGATATATAATATTAATATAATTATTAAAATAAAAAAAAGGCTCACTTCCCGGCACTACAGCCTCGTAGTGAAGAAGACACGTGTCATTATTGTCTCTCACTTTTTTAAGTTTTTTGAACTTTTTTCCCTCCAACGTTTTTGCCTTTTCTCTCCTTTTTTCCTTCGTGACAGTGTAATAAAAAACAACAGGGGCCCCGTTCCCGATTAATGAAAAATATTCTGAATTTCACAAGAAAAAAAAAAAAAAAACATTTCTACTCTCCTCAAAACACGTCTCATCTGTTGCATTAGGTGAACGGCGGCGGACCCCCCCCCAAAAAAAAAAAGAACCGTCTCGGGACTGGAAGTTCACGCAGGGCTCCCCCAGCTTCCCAACACTCTTTCCACTGTCAAGAACAGGTACACCCTTTCTTTTCAACTTTTTTTAAAAACTTTTTTTTTAACTTTTTTTTAACTTTTTTTTCAACTTCTCTATCAACTTTTTTTCAATTTGTTTATCAATTTTTTATCAACTTTTTTCCTAGGCTGTTTTCCCGGGCGCCCGGGCACCCAACTTGTGCCAGGATTTATGCCTGGGGGTTATATATACATATAAATATATACATATAAATATATACATATATAGATTATATATATCGTCACATATTTATATATATTTTGCACGTCCGAGTACCCCGGGCGTCACGCCCGGGTGCCCGGCCGGGCATGACAATCTTCCTAGCTTTTTTTTAACTTTTTCCCTTCGCTCCATTTCCTAATTTCTTTGATGAAGAAGAAGAACAGGTGCAGCACAGCTGGCACGCCATAGTAGAAGAAGAAGAAGAAGAAGAAGAAGAAGAAGAGGAAGAAGGAGAAGACGGAGAAGACGAGGAAGAAAGGAAAGGAAGGAAAGAAGGGAGGGAGAGGTGGGAGGAGGAGGCAGAAGACGAAGAAGAAGAAGAAGCAGAAGACGAAGAAGAAGAAGGAACAAAGGAAAAGAAGGAGGACGAGGAGAAAGAAGAAGAAGAGACGGACGAGCTTGACAGGGAACCGAAAGACGGAGGAGAAAGAAAAAAAGAAAGGACAATTTTCGATGATCCATTAAAAAAAGTGCCCCGGAACTTTTTTTACGGAACAATGCAGATTCAAAGGGAAACAAAAACAAAAAGAACTATACGGATTGGCCGAAACGTCATTAGAGCAGATAAGAACACGAGAGGAAGAGGAAGAAGAAGAAGAAGAAGAAGAGGAGGAGGAGGAGGAGGAGGAAGAAGAAGAAAGAAAGAACTGCAGAGGGATTATGGGGGGTGTACAATACAGGACATAGCGCCGGGGGGGAGGGGGGGGGCGAGGGGGGGGGTATTACAACACGACGGACTACGGCTAGGCGGAGGAGGAAAAGAAGGGGAAGATTCAAGAGGAGGAAGATGTAAGAGGAGAAAGAGGGAGAGGAGAAAGAGGAAGAGGAGGAATAAGAGGAAGAGGAGAGAGAGGAAGACGAGGAGGAAGAGGAGAAAGAGGAGAGGCAGCGCATAGACGGAAAACAAGTAATGAGGGAGAATTGGACAGAAGCGATGATGGGAGAGGGGGTAAGAAGAGGGCAAAGGGCAAAGGGAAAACAAGAGAAAAAGAGTGAGCGAGGCAGACTGCGATGGAAGAAGTAGAGGAGAACAGAGGAGAGCAAGGACGAGGTTAAATAAATGGAAAAAAAAAAAAAAAGGATCAAGATAAGAAGAATCGCCTTAAGCCGCATGAACGAACCCAGCGGAACACAGAAAGAGTGTGACAGAGGCAAAGGGCAGAAGGAGGAGGAGGAGAAGGAGGAGGAGGAGGAGCAGGAGGAGGAGGAGGAGCAGGAGGAGCAGGAGGAGGAAGAGGAGGAGGAGGGAAGAAAAAGAAAAAGGAGAAGAAAAACGACGAGGAAGAGGAGGAGGAGGAGGAAAGAAGAAGAAGAGGAGGAAGGAAGAGGAGGCGGAGGAGGAGGGAAGGAGAAGAAGAGGAAGGAGGGGGAGGGGGAGGGGGAGGGGGAGAGGGAAGAAAAAGACGAAGAGAAAGGGGGACGACGGAAGAAGAAGAAAATAAGAGGAGGACGGAAGAAGAAGAAGAGGAAGAAGAAAGAGGAAGAAGAAGAAGAAAAATGAAAGAAGACGAAGAGGAAGAAGAATCAGAAGGAGGAGAAGGAGGAGGAGGAGGTAAGGAGAAGAATAGTGAAAAAGAACAGTGGCCATAGACTCCTTCTCGTGCATGCATCAATAGAAACGCATAGACGCAAAGGATGAGGAGGACACGTAGGAGGGGGAAGCGCAAGCAGAAGGGGAAAGGGGA